GGTATGTGCATGCAAGTACAGGTGACTGAAGAGGCCAGAAGAGAATGCTAGATCACCTGAAGCTGGGAGTTATAGGCCATTATGCACTGCCAGATATGGATTCTGGGACATCATTAATTTGTAACTTGTACTCTACTAATGAGCCACACTTTCAAGCCCAGAAAATCTTTATCATTTACTGACATCCATCTTCAAAAATGCCTGTTTCAGTCTTATTACTGCCTGCAGATAGTGGAGATACACAGAGAATTTGCAAAATTCTAAAAGATTAGTTATATATTTTCAGGTTTGCTTCTAAGATTACAATTCTAAATCTAATTTTATTAGCTGGAAATACCCTCCAAGGGTATAACAAAACAGATCAATTTCTTCTAGGCATTCCAGATGGTTCTGTGATTTCTTCATTGTAATCCCCTATCATCAATAGTACAGCACTTTGTTGACTGAGGGCTCCCTCTGCTTTCATCACCCTAATACTCAAAACCTTAAAAGGAGTTTTTCTTTACAAATCACAGTGACAAAAAGGACAACTGTGAAGCTAACAAAATTAAAAACAAAAGTATTTGCACTTCATACAGAAAGGGAATCTGCTGAGTCACTGAGTGTTTATAATAGCACACAGTTCACTTCCTGCTGTAATAATTTCTTCTGTAACTCAGCAGCTCCCCCACAGATACCCATCAAGTCTGTGACTTCTCAAAAATGTTAACAATGCTGACTACTAAAAAGGAAGGAGTGCTGCCTAAGCAAAATTAAACTAGAGGAATAGACTATTTTCAAAGTTTGCTTTAGGGACAAGCAGCTGATAAAAATATGTGCTTTTGTTACTCATAAATATAGTCAAGAGTTCTGGATTTTCCAATTAGAGCATGCTGTAGGTATCTCAAAACTTTATAATTTCCATCCTAAGGCCAGAAAACCCACACCCTAATGAATATATTAAAGTCCACTGAAAATTCAATGTAAGTATCAAGCAATCAAGTGGTTACCAGAGCAGGTACCAGAACTATTGAGGGACCCTAAGGAGGGGAAAGGGCATGGAAAGATACAGAAAAAAATCCCACCAGAACAGTTCAGCTCATTCACAAAGAGCATTCTCTTCCACTGTTAATCAGGGTCAACATGCTTTTTAGCATTGTGAAGGGCAATAATCTTTGTTATTGGTTATATAGGAAAAACTATTTACACAGATAAAGCTATGAAGAAAGTGTAGGTATTTTGCTTGGGGCTGGAAATATAATGCTGTGGTAGGATGTCTGCTTAGCATGTATGTGGTCTTAGGGTCATTCAACAGCATCAAATACACACAAATGTATGTATATATATATGTGCATATTTTGTTTGCTTACATGTTCACTGAGTGAAAGTCAGTAAACAGAAGACTTTTGCTTCCTGCTTTAGCTAGAATTAGATAACAGGTAGTATAGGATAGTGATTATGAATGCTGGCCTGAGTGTGGAACTTTGAACTCTGTGAGATTAGGAACTGTGCCTCTTCTGTACTTCTGTGCACATGCAGTGACTGGTGAAGTAGACATTCAACTTGCAGCTGAATTCCACTCATTCTTCATTCCACCAATATTCACTGTCTACTTCCTATATTATATGCCAGGCACTCCAACAGGTGTACCTGTTATGTGTACCACCTCCTTCCACCTTTACTTACCACCATCCCAAATATCTGTTTAAGATCTCAGCATAAACCAGAGTTCAAATTTTAGGGTTTTTCATTAATGTCTCAGGTACCTTTCTATTGCTGTGAAGCGACACCATGACTAAGGTAACTTACAAAAGAATTTATTGGGGGCTTGCTTTGCAGTTTTAGAAGTTTTAGATGCCTGACCATCATGGCAGGGAGCATGGAAGCAGGCTTGGCACTGGAGCAGTAGCTGAGAGCTTACATGTTAAGACGATAACCACAAGCCAGGGAGATGGGATCCAACTGGAAACTTCATGGGCTCCTGAAACCTCAAAGCCCACCCTCAGCAATGACACACCTCCTCCAATAAATTTACACCTCTTAATCCTTCCAAAACAGTTCCATTCAAGTAGGGACCAAGTATTCAAACATATGAGCTTATGGGGGCCATCCTCATTCAAACTACCATACCTACTATAATATACCCTAAGAATTCATAGCCAGAGTTAAAAGTGAGAGGTTGTCAAGCTGACATCCTATCAACTGCATGTAGCATACACATTTTGCTTTGGTTATTTAGGAAGTTTATGAGAGAGTGTGTGTGACAGATGGATAAGACAGACAGACAAATAGAGAAAAAGATGGACAGAAAGACTCTTAACTATTTATGTAGAAACCAGAGGCTGACTTTGGACATCATCTTTTGCTATCCCTCTCTACTTTGTATTTTGAGATGGGCTCTCACACTGAACCTGGAGCTCATTGCTTCCATTAAACTGTTGACCAGTAACCCTCCAGGATCTGCCTGTCTACACACTCCCAGGGCAGGGATGACAGGTATACACCTTCAAGCTTGGCTCTTACATGGCTGCCTGAGGATTTGAACTTTTTGGTTCTCGTGCTTACCCACCAAGCACTTTACCTAATGAACCCCTTGTCCAGTGTTTTTATTTTTAATTAATTCAAAAGAAGATATTTTATGTAATATCCAAATTTATAATTTTCTTAAAAAGCAAGAGATGTAGCCGGGCGGTGGTGGCACACGCCTTTAATCCCAGCACTTGGGAGGCAGAGGCAGGCGGATCTCTGTGAGTTCAAGACCAGCCTGGTCTACAAGAGCTAGTTCCAGGACAGTCTCCAAAGCCACAGAGAAATCCTGTCTCGAAAAAACAAAAAACAAAAAACAAACAAACAAACAAAAAAGCAAGAGATGTATTAACATTATTCTTGCATGGCCACAGCTGCTGAAGCTGAACAGTGGCTATCTTGCAGATAGGTACCTGCTCTTCCTTTAGTTTGCTTTACTCATCTGAATTCTCTGGTCTCTAGGCATTTAGGTTAGCAATTCTTAGTACCTTTCTGCATTTCTCCCTAAACTGCCTCACGAGTGCTAGTCTTTTGTGCTGGCCTACTAATGGCCTGTCAATCTCTCAAGCCTCCTTATCTGCATTGCTCTAAATTCCTGAAAGTTTAGTATTGCATACTCCTCAGAGACTAGAGAATAATATTAGTCTAAACTCCTTAACATGGCATTCTAGGCATTCTGCTTCATTTCAAATTACCTTTGCCATTACATTTCCCATATTTAATGAGTGAGTAGATTATGGTTACCTTAAAAGGAGGTATTCAAGTGTCTTGCTGTAGAATTCTGTGTTTTGTTTTTAATGTTTTTTTAAGCATGGCTTGAATTGGAAGTATGGTTTTCAAAGTTAATTAGAAAAACAGAAACCTACAATTTATTTATAACTGTCTCTCAGAGACATGTGCCCTAGTCTATTTACTGCTTAAAGAAGCTACTGGCAAGTACTGACTATTGATAACAAAAAGAATAATGGGATTGACGGTATTTGTTTTTTAAAGATTCTTTTATTTTCATTTTATGTCTGTGTTTTGCCTGAATGTATGCATTTGTACTATGTGTATGTGGTGCCTGCAGAGGTCTGAGGAAGGTGTTGGGTCCCTTGCAACTGGAGTTGTCCATGAGTTTCAATGTGGGTGCTAGGAACCAAGCTTGGGGCCTCTGTAAGAGCCCCCATCAAGACCTCTTGATGGTAGTTTTACAATTACATATACAAGCTAAATATGATACACAGTGCCTATAACCCAGCATTAGGAGTCTGAGGGAGGAGGATCCTGAGTTAAGCCCAAGCTGAACTGAACAGTAAGAAACCCTATCTCAAAACAAAGCAAATCAAAACAAGACAAAAAGTCCACATACATACAAATCATAAAGATAAAGGAACTGATATTCTACTTTGTGTGTGTGTGTGTGTGTGTGTGTGTGTGTGTGTGTGTGTGTGTGTGTGTATGTGTGTGTGTGTGTGACATATAAGTGTTCCTAAAACATTTTTTATTATGGAATCTCGTTTTCGTAAAAGACATAAATGAATAGATGCAATGTTTAAGTAACATAAGATCTGTATTTGGAAACATGTCTTATTGCATAGCACTGGTACCTAAAGATGTATTATACTGTAACCATGAACATTATTTTGCACACAAGAGATGTGATAATTCTAAAATGTACTATCACATTCAAGCTTTAAAATACAAAGCTACTCAAACTGAGCATATGGTTGTCGTAGTAACAAGTAACTGCTTGTTTCACAGCAGTACAACTCCCTTACAAACACAAAACAAGTTATTCTGTAAAATTTAAACTTTACTAGTTCTAAAAAAAGTGATGTTGTCCAGATAATTTCTGAAAATCTCAATCCTTTCTTAGGATTCAAATTCCACTCCTGTTGGGCTGATTTCTCATGCTTACACTTGGGCATCTGCAAATGCTGATGTCAGCTTCAGTTAATGTTCTTGGATAGAAAAGAGAACAGGTTTTCACTTTGTTCAAGTATAGTGTCTGTAACTCTGCTTAATTTCACCCCTTAAACAAATAACATTGTTTTTCTAAGAAAAACAATGAAGCACAAAAGTATACTTTGCTCACAGCTTTCCTTGTAACATATCATATCTTCACAAGGTAAAGTCAAGTCATCAAATGTTTATTGGGAAACAAATTACCTAGCAAGTAGATAAGAATTCTGTTCCAATACAATTGCCTTCTTAATTTGAGAGACACCCAAAAATGCAAACAGCAGGCAGAAAAGATTTCAGAAAGCACATCCTAGGGGATGCTCAAATAGAAACAAATTCTTCATTATTTTCTAATCTTGGAATTGAATTGTTATGTATACTGCTATTTTGTAGAAAAATTCCTACAAAACTCACAGGTATTGGGAGCAAGCAAAGAAAATTAGATTTTAACCATGAGGAAGAATAATATTAATGGTAACACAACAATCTGAGTCACAGAAGGTATACAACTACACACTGTTAGCAGATATTTGTAATATCAACTAATTTAGCATGGAACCATTCATTACTACTTCTATATATGGTGTTCTGATGTTCTGAAACTTCTTTTTTTATTTTTCTATGTGCATTGGTGTTTTGCTATGGGTGTTGGGTCTTCTGGAACTGGAGTTATAGACAGTTGTGAGATGCTATGTGGGTGCTGGGAATGGAACCCAGGTCCTCTGGAAGAGCAGTTAAGTGCTCTCCTAATCACTGAGCCATCTCTCCATTCCCCTTTTCTAAAACTTCAAAGAAAGTGCTTGAAAATATCTGTTTGCACTAGACAGTATTTCTTAAGCTGCCCTCCAGTGAGAAGCTAACAGAATACCATTTAATTCATGCTAGTTCCCTTTCCCAAGTACACTTACAATCGTTTCATATTGATGATACCTGGATATCACAACTTGGTCTCAAAGACCTACACAATGCCAGTTAATGTACTGCCTAAAGTCTCCATGGCACTTACTATACACTAATATTTTTATTTATCTACTGTTTCATGAAAATAACTGCCAAGATTTGGTGGCTTAAAAAGCAACAATTCATTTATTTCTCACTAGTCATTAACTTATCTTTTGGAATTTTAAACTTTTATCTGGAAAGTAACTTGCTATAAGTTACTTTTAAACTCTGAGATCTCAGTACCCCATCCCCCACGCTGTGGAAAGGATGCTTTTTCCTAATGAGGTCTGTCCAGCATTGTCAGCATTTGCACAAACATGAATGACAGACTCTAAGGGGTTTCAAAATCTAGCTCGATATTTGAGGAAAACAAGGAAGTGGGTTGGGTTAGGAAGTCCTCTGCAAGGGCAGACTACATGTTCTCCATGACCTTCTACTGGGGACCCCTCCCCCACTTCCTGCTGTCTCAGATTTAGGAAGGAGGCAGCACTGTTCTTATTGCCAAACACTCCTTTAATCTGCCAGTCTTCTAAAAGGAAAATAAAGAATAAATGAAATTCCATGCTACTGTGGAATATAGTAGTATCTAGCTTTGGTACATAATTGTACTTCGTTTTTCGATATTTTCAGTTAATTTTTAATGACAGTAGTAATATATTAAAAGTTTATTAAATTAGTAACTTTGATTGTTATTCTAAGAATGCATTATGCAGCCTGCTTGACCCTTACACCCTTCCCCCACGACATGGCTCTTGTGTGCGGTCTCACACATTTTGTTCCACAGAGTTTTCCAAGTTTCTGGCCTGTATTCCTTTCTCTTCTGTCTTAGGTATCTTGGTAGAAGTTTCTCAAACTTATATTTTAAATTAGATCTATCTCTGAAGTTAAAAATATGAAAATTCTATTTTCTCTATAGGTACATAAAGTCCAAGCTACAAATTGGCAGCTTATAGTTATTTTGTTCTGATTATTATTATTATTATTTGTTTTTTTTTTTTTTTTTCCGAGACAGGGTTTTTCTGTGTAACTTTGGAGCCTATCCTGGCACTCACTCTGGAGACCAACACCCAGCCTATTATTTGTTTTTTTGAGACAGAGTTTCTTTGTATAGCTGTGGCTGTCCTTGAACTCATTCTGTACACCAGGCTGGCCTCAAACTCGCAGAGATCTTCCTGCCTCTGCCTTCTGAGTACTGGGATTAAAGGTGTGTACCACTACCCGGCTTGGTTTTGAATTTTATTATTAATAATCAATTAGAAAATCCCTAGCAGTAGATTTTCTTTTGAGACAAGGTCTTGCTCATATTTAGTCCAGGATGGGATATAACTACCCCCACTTCCTGAGTGACGTAACTGCAAGTATGTACAATTATACAGACTGGTTGATTGTCAACACAAGTTGAAAGATGTATGGGGAGAAGGATTCTCAATTGAGAAAATGCCTCCAAATGATTTGCCTGTACACAAGTCTGTGGTGCCTTTTCATAATTAGTGATTGCTGTGGGAAGGCATAGCCCACTGTGGATGGTGCCACCCCTGAGTGGTGGTCCTGCTCCTCCATGGCCTTGGCCATCAATGCTCTTGGCTGTTTTGTTAGGGGCAGGTTTTTCAGGTTAGTCTTTTGAGATAAGAATCTCTCACTGAACCTGACGTTTACCAATTTATAAAGAGTGGCTCTCTTATCCCTCCTCTCCTGCCTCTGCTTCTCCATGTTAGGATTATAGCTGTGAACTGCTAGGGCCAGGCTGGTCTTTCAGAGATCCATCTGTCTCTGCCTCCTGACTGCTGGAATTAAAGGTGTTGGCCACTATGCCTGATCTGATCCAACACCACTGTAACCCACAATACCTAGTGTGGAGTTCTACACAGGAGGATGGAGATTCTGGTGAAGAAACTTGTCTACTAAGGTAAAGTATCTAATTAAATAGATTTGGTCTTTTGATTCTTGTTTGTGCTATTCATGTATTTAAACCTTTGCTTTTCGGTCATGAGGAAAGAGAAGTAAATCCTTATTTTTACTACATTGGAATCCCTTACCCTGGCACACCAGGTTAGTCAAAGTCTGACCACAAAGTATCTTTTCCATCTGCCTCCACCTCCAACAACATTCCCAGTACATTTCTTATTTTCTCAGCCTGTAATATTTATACATTCTTGCTCTTTGCTTGTTTTTCACTTCATCCCTACCTGTAAGACAAATGCTCATGTATCTCTTGCCAGCACAAACCTAACAATTTCTTTGTAGAGTTCGTTGGTTCAACAATTAATGTATTTTTTGAATATGTTGGTTGTGTCTGTTTTAAGTAACTAACATAGCAAATAGTTTCATTCTATCTCCATAGGCGTATGTATTTCTCAAGGCAGAGAATCTTATTTGCTCCGCTTTATAGTTCAACATTGAGTTGTGGTAGTAGCTCTGCTGAACCCATAGGTATGAAATGGCTTTGGAATTCAGAAGGAAGCGCAGTTCTAGTAGTTTGTTTCATTTTCTGAAGAATGAACAACAGGGTCCATTCTTGGCCATTATAAAAAAGAACTGAAAAAGTTCATAAAAATACTCTGCTGTGGGTTGGACATGAAATGTCCTCCATAGGCTCATGTGTTTGGATACTAGGTCCCCAGCTGGTGGCTTTATTTGGAAGGCTGTGGAACCTTTAGAAGGAAGAGACTTGCTGGAGAAAGTGGGTTGCTAGGGGCTTTTCAGTTTTCTAGCCTGAACCCATTTCGTATTCATGCTTTGCTTCCTGAATACAGCTGCTATGGGACCAGCCAGCCTTCATTTTCTACCACCATAGCTTCTTGATCACCATAGACTATACTCTTATGGATCTATAAGCCCTATAAACCCTCTCTCCCACCAGTTGCTTTTGACAGGTTATTTGATAACATCAATGAGAAACATACATGGTCCCCTGGAGAAGGGGAAAGGGACAAGATCTCCTGAGCAAATTGGGAGCATGGGGGGAGGGGAAAGGGAACTAGGAGAATGAGAAGGGGAGAAGAGGAGGAGGGGGGAAGACATGATGGGGCAGAGAGGTTGAGTTGGGGGAAGAACAGAAGAGAACAAGATAAGATATAATATAATAGAGGGATATATTATAGGTTTAAAGAGAAATCGGGCACTAGGGAAATGTCTGGAGAGCTACAAAGATGACACCAACTACAATCTAAGCAACAGAGGAGAGGCTACCTTAAATGCCCTCTCCTGATAATGAGATTGATGACTAATTCTTATGCCATCTTATAGCCTTCATCCAGCAGCTGGTGGAAGTAGAAGCAGACACCCACAGCTAAACCTTGAACTGAACTGAAATCCAGTTGCAGAGAAGGAGGACTGATGGATGAGCAAAAAGGTCCATACCAGGCTGGTGAAACACACAGCAATAGCTGACCTGAACAAGGGAGAGCTCTTGGTCCCCAGACTGATAGCTGGGAAACCAGCATGGGACTGATCTAGACCCCCTGAATGCAGGTGTCAGTGAGGAGACCTTGGACATCTATGGGGAAGACTTTGAAGACCACTATGGAAGGCCTCACTCTCCCTGGGGAGCAGAAAGGGTATGGGCTAGCTAGGGTGTTAGTTTGTGGGGGGAGGAGTAGGGGAAGAGGGGAGGGAGAGGGACCTGGGATTGACATGAAAATAATTTTCTTTCTAAAAAAAAAAAAAAGGTTACCATTGCTGTGATGAAACACCATCACTTGGTGAGGAAAGGGTTTACTCAGCTGATATTTCCATATCACAGTTTATGATCAAAGGAAGTCAGAGTGGGAACTGAAGCAGGGCAGGATTCTGGAGGAAGGAGCTGATGCAGAAGCCATGAGGAGGTGCTGCTTATAGCCTATAGCTTACTCCCCATGGCTTGCTCAGCCTGCTTTCTTAAAGACCCAGACTAACCAGCCCAGGGGTGACACCATTCCCAATGGGCTGGGTCCTCCCACACATTATATCACCAATTAAGAAAATGCCCTACAGGCTTGCCTACAGCTGCAACTTTTGGGGGCATTTTCTCAATTGAGGTTTCCCTCCTTCAGATAACTTTAGCTTGAGCCTAGTTGAC